ATACTGATTGCATATGCTAATAGACAGTGTACACCTCTGCTGTTTGGACAGTGCTATTTAATAAGTCCATGTACGTTGTCCCTGAGAGTAAATATATGCTTACTGATGTGGTTATCATAGACTGGTGTGAGATGCATTGAATTATATGTTCATAGTCGATGTTGATTGTATGTTGCCCGATGGCTTAAAACATTGGCAGAATGGCATAGTTTTTGTCTGTAATATCAAACTGATGAATAGAAAGTTCAAATTAAATGTAGTCCAGATGGGGGTTTTACACAATTTTTTTTTTAATGCCTCCTGTGTTAAAACATTTTATCTAATAAGGTAATCAGTTAAAATGGGAAGAAGTTGAACAAAGTCAAAGTCTAAGGTATAGTTTTCTCACCTGATCCAGATTGTCAAGGTTTTTAGTAAGGGGCAAAGGTTACCACTCCTTTTTGCCCGCACAAAGTGCACAGAACTTTTCCAGTCTCTACTTTGTGCTGTAACCCTTTTCTGTCCAGAAATATGCACTGTAGTAAAGTGCATACTGTGCTTTTCAGATATTGTTTTTTACTGGAAAATACTTTTTAATTTCATATTTAAGCAAAAATTTGCATCATATCAGATTTAACATTTTCTTAATAGCTTATTAAGATTTTTTTTTTTAAATTCCCCAGGAAAAATTGTTTAAGAATTTGAAAAAAAAAATGTATTCTTTAATGTACAGTGCCTTGAAAAAGTATTCATACCCCTTGAAATTATCCACATACCCCTAACTAAAATCTAGTGGAATCAATTGCCTTCAAAAGTCACCTACTTAGTAAAATAGAGTCCACCTGTGTGTGATTTAATCTCAGTATAAATACAGCTGCTCTGTGAAGCCCTCAGAGGTTTGTAACCCCTGGTTCACATATATGTAGCCGTAAGGGCCGTGTTTTGCGCGGGCACAAGAGCCCATTCATTTGAATGGACTCCCGTGCCCTGAGACATGCAGGGAAGAAGTCCCTGCACTTCTTCTGAAAATGCAGCCCACACAGGAACCTCGGTTCCCAGTACAGTTGCGTTTTCCAGTGCAGGCGGTGTGCCACTAGAACTAATGGCACCCACAGGTCCGCATTCCTCTGTGTGGGTGGTGCGGCTGCACGGATTTTCGTGCTGATCCGCAGCCTCACTACCCGCACATATGTGAACCTAGCCTTAGAGGGCTTCACAGAACAGCTGTATTTATACTGAGATTAAATTACACACAGGCAGACTCTATTTACTAATTAGGTGACTTCTGAAGGCAATTGGTTCCACTAGATTTTAGCTAGGGGTATCAGAGTAAAGGGGGCTGAATACAAATGCACGCCACACTTTTAAGATATTTATTTGTAAAAATTTTGAAAACCATTTATCATTTTCCTTCCATTTCACAATTATGTGGCACTTTGTGTTGGTCTGTCACATTAAATCCTAATAAAATACATTTACGTTTTTGATTGTAACATGACTCAATGTGGGAAATTTCAAGGGGCATGAATACTATTTCAAGTATCTAGAAGGTCCCCCTGCGCTGAGATGGAAAAATAAATAAATATAATTAAATATAAAACCACTACTAGCAGCTAAACACCTATTCCTAAACCTGTAGGTAAATGAATAATAATGAAAAAAGTGGTGTAGCGCTCAGTGACAAATGTAATACATGTAGTAACTAAATATCAATAGTAGTGACACTAAGTGCTCACAATTCAGGTAACAGCAGACCTAGTAGGTGACTAAAAGTGAACCCAATCCCATGGGGGGATCAAAGTATCGTGACCCTTAGTCCCTACAATTGGGGTAGCAACCTAAAATATCGTGGATCCCTGTTGAGGGACAAGTGCTAATCATGTGCACCAAAATCACAAATAAATAGTCAAGTCCAATCACAGGTGGATGTGTAAACACAGCTGCAGTGTTCCAATCTTCCAGACCATGCATAAACGATTGTGACCCACCAGTAGGTGCTCTCCAAACAATGGCTAAAGTGGCCTCTCACCTCCACTCATCGACCCCTAGGGGCCATAGAGCCTTATGGATCTCTCCTTGATCCCTCTGATACAGGAAATCCTGGTGGTCTGGTGACAGGGCTGTGACAGGTATATAGCCAGTAAGAAATCCTCACCATGAACCCCTCCAGATCAGTAGGTAGACAGACACAGGTACGCTCCAGGCATGAACAATTCAGCAGGCAGATTGAGACTCGAGCACACCTCTATCCTTACACAAAGGTTGTGTCTTTGAACGGAAGCAACTGCCAAATTTCAAGGCACTGTATTGCATAATTACTTTAAGTCAATATAAAAAAAATTAAAATTAAGGCTATATTTTATTATTTATTTGTTTATTATGTTTGGGACTAAAAATTAAAAAAAAACTTTTTTTGTTTCATGTTTTAGTCATGTAAATATGACAAACTGCATATACACTCACCGGCCACTTTGTTAAGTATACCTGTTCAATTGCTTGGCAACACAAATTGCTAATCAGTCAACCACATGGCAGCAACTCAGTGCATTTAGGCATGTAGACATGGTGAAGACAACTTGCTGAAGTTCAAACCGAGCATCAGGATGGGGAAGAAAGAGGCTGAAAGTGATTTGAATGTGGTATGGTTATTGGTGCCAGATGAGCTGGTCTGAGTAGTTCAAAAACTGCTGATGTACTGGGATTTCATGAACAGCCATCTCTAGTGTTCACAGAGAATGGCCCGAAAAAGAGAAAATATCCATTGAGCAGCAGTTGTGTGGACGAAAATACCTTGTTGATGTCAGTGGACAGAGGAGAATGGGCAGACTGGTTGCTGCAACATTCAGATGGTAGGGTCAGAATTTGGCGTAAACAGCAAAAAAGCATGGTAGCCTTGTATCAATGGTTCAGGCTGGTGGTATAATGGTTTGAAGGATATTTTCTTGCTTTCTAGCAAGGTGTACCTAATAAAGTGGCTGGTGATTGTGGTTTTCACATTTACTATTTCAGCCAGCAGATGAAGCTCTAACCCCATTATTATGTTTACCAGGTTAATCTTACCTAGTTTGCTGTTGAAGCATAAATTAAATAAAAAATAAAATATTGTGAGCAGGCAGGCTCCTTGGTGCAGAAGAGACGTGTCCTCTGCAATAAAACCAACATACCTGCATGTTTGCAATCTTCTTTTGAATGCACAGCTAGCTAAATTTTTGACATACCGTGGTGCCAAAATGAAAAAACTCCTATGCGCATAAGTTACATCATCCCCCAGTGGCCAATCAAGACAGCTGAAGACCCAGCACCTGGAAAAAGCTAGGGAGAAGATGCCAGGAATGGAGCTTGCGAATTTCACATTGCTGCAGTGGAGGTGAATATGTGTGGTCTTTAGTTCTCCTTTAAGCTAAATGACCTAAGAAGTGATTCTATTTGCTCAAGGAACATGGAGATTCAATTACAGAGACCGTCACAGAAATTTATACAGAATGCTTTTTGCATGAAATGTTTACTCCATAAAATAACTGATATAGCCTTTATAAGCCGATGACATGCTCCTGTTTTTACAGGACCCTGACCTTTCTTTAAAAACTGCCCTTGCCACTCTGAATGAGTATTCCAAGTTCTCAGGGTTATATATTAATTGGGGTAAATCACAGATGATCCTGTTAGACTCAGTTCCACTCCTGGCCTGAGATACCTACAGTGGGTGACCCAAATTAAATATTTGGGAGTGCAAGTTATAAATAATTTGGCTGACTTTATCCAGTTGAATTTCTTGCCTCTTTTGGTGCTGGCAAGATCCAGATTTGAGATCTTTACCATTATCCCTTATTAACAAAGTTAATTAAAGATGAAATTCTCCCACCCAGGGGCGGACTGACAACTTATGGGGCCCCCGGGCAATAAGGGATCATGGAGCCCCTGTGTCCTTGTCCAAACTCAAAAAAGCCTATGAAAAAGGTATCAGGGGCATCTCATGGGGCCTCCTACTGACCCTAGGCCCCCAGGCAGTGCCTGAGTTTCCAAATGGTCAGTCTGCCCCTGCTCTCACCTGGATTCCTCTGTCTCTTTTTAAAGAATTAGATACATATAATATCTCTTCATTTTTGTGGAATAACAAACCTTCACAGCTCATTTTCGCCACTGTTAGGCAACCTGTGGCCTTTGGCAGTCTGACCCTCCCCACTTTTTTTCAATATTTCCTGTCTGGGCAACTATGCTTACAGTTGTCTTTTGTTTTTCAGTAGTGGTGGAAGTGGCAGTACTGGGTTCCTATGAGGTGCTGCAGTCACTTCTTTATAGGCAATGTTGCACCCCATATCCACTCACCCGCACCATGAGAACCACTGTTAGGGCACGGATCAGGCTAAGGTCATTCACTGTACTGTCTACCATTCATGGTCACCTCATCTTCCATTACGGAATGACTGACTCATGATTTTTCCTTATTTATTCTAACTCTTGAAGCCAATCCTTTGGGAAGCTAGGGGTGTTAAGGTCCTAGGTGATCTAACTGTTAACGGATGCCTCCCTACTGTCAGGATCCAGATATGAACCTACAACCTCTATCGGTAGAGCCTTGCTGAGCCACCTGAGATGCTGGAGCCTTGCTGAGCCAACCTGAGATGCTGGACAGCTCCTCACCTGATTCCATAGACAGCCTGCCCATGTTTCTCTTGAACCTTGAACCCTTTGTTCCTCCCATGAACTTCCTATTTAATCCATTCCTTTGAACTTCCTGTTTGAGAGATTATTGTACTTTCTCCAGCCAATATCTTGCTCTTGTCACCATATCATCCCTACCACTCATTTGTAGGGGCAGCAGGTGATGATGGACCTTTCCTCCATGCTTCCCATAAACTCTTTGGGTTTCTATGGGCTACGCTAGGCATAGCGGTAGGCATAGCGTAACAGGGTAAATCTCTTAACCACCTCCCGCCCGCCATATAGTAATATGACGGACACAAGGTGGTTCTCTTGTTCTGGGAGGACGTCATATGACGTCCTCCCATTCTAACCGCGCATGCGCGGCTCCCAGAGCGCGCAGCGTGGCGATCACCGATCCATTGAAAGAGCCAAAGATGTCGGCTCAGTCATGTGATCAGCTGTGTCCAATCACAACTGATCATATGTAAACAGGGAAATGCCGATTATCGGCATTTCTCTCCCCACGAGCTGTCACGCTGACAGCTCTTGAGGAGAGGAGAGCCGGTAATCGGCATTCCTCGGAGGGGACATCTACACAGATCATCAGAGCACTGATGATGATGATGTGTAGCCGCCACCTGTCAGCGTCCATCAGTGCCAGCTCTCAGTGCTCATCCATGCCACCTGCCAGTGCCCATCAATGCCACATCAGTGCCACATTTCAGTGCCCATCAGTGCCACATCAATGCCACATATCAGTGCCCATCTGAGCTACCTTTCAGTGTCACCCATCAGTGCCAGTCAATGCCACCTATCAATGCCAGTCAGTGCCGTCTATCAGTGCTGCCAATCAGTGCTACCTATCAGTGCCAGTCAGTGCCGCCTATCAGTGTGCATCAGTGCCGCCTATCAGTGCCCGTCAGTGCTGCCTATCAGTGCCACCTAACAGTGCCAGTCAGTGCCACCTAACAGTGCCAGTCAGTGCCACCTATCTATCAGTGCCACCTATCAGTGCCGCCTATCAGTGCCATATATGAGTGCTGCCTTTCAGTGCCCATCAGTGATGCCTATCAATGCCCAATCAGTTCCAACTACCAGTGCCTCCTCATCAGTGCGCATCAGTGCCACCTATCAGTGGCCATGACTGCAGCCTCATTAGCGCACATCAGTGAAGGAGAAAATCACTTATTTACAAAATTGTATAAGAAAAACTAAGAAAAAAAGTTTTTTTTCAAAATTTTCAGTGGTTTTGTGTTTGTTTAAGAAAAAATAAAAAACCCAGAGGTGATTAAACACTACCAAAATAAAGCTCTATCTGTCACAAAAAAATGATAAAAATTTCATATGGGTACAGTGTTGCATGACCGCGCAATTGTCATTCAAAGTGCAACAGCGCTGAAAGCTGGAAATTGGCCTGGGCAGGAAGGGGGTATAAGTGCCCTGTAGGCTAGTGGTTAAACATGGGGTACCTTTATCTGTGCCATTTCCATCAATGCCCTGGGACAAGACTGAGTCTGCCGTGGGGGAATGCTCAACCTCAAGGCAGACCTCTACTCTCAGAGGTGAATGTACACCGTGTATACTTGCATCATAATTGTCCTCCAGTTAACTCTCGGGTCCCCATGTTAGTGTACACCTTCACTGTAATTTACTGCAATTTGGATGGACACGCTGAGCCTATGTGCACTTCCACCTGTCCACCGTTCTACATGACCTCTCTCCCAGTAGCTGAATGGAACCCAGCCGTGCACCCTGACTTAACTCTTGAGTTCCTATACCTCTGCACAAGATAGGGACCTCTGCGGTGTGAGTCTGCTCCCATTGATATAGGGGACAGACTGCTGGCGGAAGGAGTCTCTTGACTGACTGTTGGCTTCAGTTACCACTGGCTGTCTTCATACTCCAATGTGGTATTGACCCAAGTGGGAGAATCTTTGAGGTTTTGGTTACTTGCATTATACTCCTTTAGTAACTTCAGACCAAGCAGAAGGCAAAGTTTGAAAGCTTTACTGAATAGAGTCTTATTATCACAGCATTCAAAGTGCAAAACAGTGAGCGCAGATATGCTGCCCTGGCATATCTGCAAAGGTAGTGTCCATAGGTATCGGAAAACTCCATAGATAACGGCAGGGTCCAGTAGCTGGTGTTTTCGGGGAGGATCACAGGTCCCACATGGTCCTGCTACATGATGACAGGTTCCTTTAACAGGTCTACGGTTGACTCTCTCACCCTCTGCCCACCCCACTCTCGCTCCAGACTATTGTCCTTTTTTATAGGCACAGGATCAGTGGGTCGTACCCAAAAAACCCAAGAAAAATACCTGGGAAATACAGTTAACCCTTAACCTACCCCTTCCATGGCAGCACCAACTAGGCTAAATTTCAACCCTATGCTTCTGCTTGATCTGCTTGAGGACTGCAACCTGGTACTAACACACAGCAAAACCCATCTCCACCATCAGGAGCTCTGATGAATACCGGTTAGTGCTTAGATCTGCACCTTGGGTGAGCCTGCATCATCCTCCAGGGTTATCTACTTGTATACCTATCCTACTGGTTGGTGGTAGCCTCTCTGCTGCTACAGCTACTGGTTTCTGAGCTTGACCCCTGACCATGATACCTAGTTTTGATGTTTTGTGAGCCAACTTCTCTCTTTCCAATTGTTTTTTTGTTTTGTTTTTTTTTTGGTATTTCTAATTACACCATGTGTGGGTATCATAACTTTGCATGATCCCAATCGATCTTCAGATCCCTGATATGGAAGCTCTCCTACAGTCTGATTCCCTGCCCAAGGCCCATTCAACCCTATATTAGGCCCTGAGAAGGAGTGTGCAGTGTTTTTTGACAGTATGTGTAGGAAAGATGTGCGGTGTGTAGGGCAGTATGTGCAGAAAAGGAGTGTGGTGTGTATGATGATATGTGCAGAACAGATGTGCAGTGTGGATGACAGTATGTGCAGGAAAGGCATGGGGTGTGTATGATGGTGTGTGCAGAGAAGGAGTGCGGTGTGTATGACAGTATTTGTGGGAAAGACATGCAGAGGGTATGGCAGTGTGTGCAGAAAAGGAGTGCGGTGTGCGCAGGAAAGGAGTGTGGTGTGTATGATGATATGTGCAGGACAGATGTGCAGTGTGGATGACAGTATGTGCAGGAAAGGAGTGCAGTGTGTATGATGTTGTTTGCAGGAAAGTAGTTCAGAGTGTATAACAGTGTGTGCAGGAAAGGAGTGCAGTGTGTATGATGTTGTTTGCAGGAAAGTAGTTCAGAGTGTATAACAGTGTGTGCAGGAAAGGAGTGCAGTGTGTATGGCTGTGTGTGCAGGGAAAGGAGTGAGGTGTGTTATGATGGTGGGGGTATTATGTTCAGGCAGTGTTGCCAACCATTCATAAATTTATGGACAGTTTGTAAAAATCGTCTGCCCTTAAAAAATATGGCCGAGGGCATTCGACAATCATTGGAATGCCTGCGTTATGTGGCAGTGGGGTGGGGCCACACCTGCGCTGTAGGCAGTGCGTGATGTCATGGCAATGAAGAATTCTACTCTCTGCGGGCAATATGAATGAATGCAATGGAAACAGTCTCTGGAGGCAATGACTGCAATAAAGCATCAACAGCTATTGTCAGGAATAGATTCAACTGCTGGTGACACTGTGGCTCCCAGACCTGTAGGGTGTAGTTTCGGTGTCCACCAGCGTTTGTCTCTCAGCAGCCAGCAGCTCATACTAATTAATGCTGGGGGCATATTTAGCTCTGCCTATGCTACTCCCCTTTGCCTTGGTGTCTTGCCAATGTGCATCCGACCTGTGTACCATGCTCCTGCATCCTGATCCTGATTCTGATTCCTCTCCTGCCTGCGTTTTCCTGCTCCCGTATACCATCTTCCTGTCCTGGCATGCTCCATGCTTTTTCTGCATGATCTTCCATGCATGACCCTTTCTCTGATTCTGACTACTATTCTTAGTCTTAGCCTGCCAACTGTAGATAGTTAGCTTGGTTAATTGGTTTTGTGTATTGTGTGTGATAATTTTCACACATCAAGCTTTACTGGTTTAGGTTCTTGGTTTATATTACATTTAATTACATTTAATTACATTGGTTTACATTGTTGTTTTACCCGCATTGTTCCTTAATAAAAAACATTCTGAAATAACCCCTAAGTTACATACTATGTTTGAATTACAGAAATTGTAACAAAGAGTCAATGCATTTCAGAGTCAATAAAATCCTTCCTCAAGGATAGCTCTGCAATAGAGATGATGTGATTTATAAGATTGAAGGTACATTTATTTAAAACATACATACTGCTATCAGGACATATTCATTTATATTGTCTGTATAAATAGGAGTGTCTAGTACTCACACACTCAGTAGATCGACTCATAATAAACACCAACCATATCATAGGAACAGTGTAATTTGCTACCACTCCTCAGTTCACACAGCCATGGATTCTGACTAGTAAGGACCCCTCCAGATAGCACTTAGGCCACTTGTACATTAGCATAAAAACTTGTATTGTGTAAACATAATATGAATTAATGGTAAAGATTAATAAAAAATAATAAAGAATAATAAAAGAGGCTATGTAACACCCACCTGTATGTTTTGAAATAGTGTGTGTCTTCCAAGATATAAATTCTCAAGTGTCGTCAGTGAAGACACACACTAATTAAAAACATACTGGTGGGTGTTAAATAGCCTCTTTTATTATTATATATTATTTTTTATTTATTTTTATCATGAATTGAGGCAAACAAGGCATTTGTTTAGGGCATACATTTTCAGGGGGGCGGCACCACTCCCCAGAAGAACGGATACACATGCCAGGGATAGAGATCTGGTGAGGCTCTGCCTCAGAATTCAATGAGTCTGTGCACTGCTGCTGGAGGGTGTAAGCTTCCCGCGCAAGGAAGACACAAGGAAGAAAGACACTGGGCTTGACCCTGGGGATGGCTGCCTGCTTTCTGGAGAGGTTAGAGTTATTGTTTGACTAACTCTCTCTGCGCGTGGGACAGGTGAAGGGGGGTGGTTGGTTGGCAGACAGTGATGGGTCGCCCAATTTTAGTGTTGCCTAGGGCAGCATGAGAACTAAATAGACCACTGATTATATACCAAGGGTCCCAGATAGAAATAAGAATGGGACCTAACAGAAACTCTGTAATAAAAAATGTATATGTAATATTGTAAAGGGGTCCCAATTCCATTGGAGTACATAGCATATTCCTAATACTTCTTTTATATGTCAGTGCAAGGAAATATTACATGGCAAAACAAGACTATGTCAATATCAGGTGACAATGTCAGGTGGTCTGACACTGAGCTGTACAAAATAGATGGTCTGCCTCCCTCACACAAGGGCGCTGAGCTTCTTAGTAAGGAATTTAGGGAGTTTTTTGGACATGCATTTAAACTGAGAAATGGGGGGCAGAAATGTAGTTGTTGAGGAGCATTTCTGTCCTCAGCAGGTTGAAACAAATGTGAGGGTTTGTGTTGCTAAGGACTAGGCTGATGGTGTCACTTCAGTTAAAGTTTCTGGTGGTAAAAATAAAGCAGTAGGGAAGGAGGAGCCTGGTCATGGCGGTGAGGGAGAGCGTGACATGAGCTCTCTCTGCAAGTCAGCCACCTGCCCCTCAAAAGTGTCCTGCAGCCGTCAGAGATGTCTGTAAAGCCCTACCTGTGAGAGGGGGGACCTTGCTGGAGGAGTGAGAGTGTGAGGAGACCTGTTGAGCGCAGAGGCTGCGGGACAGGTCGGTCGGAGAGGAGGACAGAGCGTCTGCGGTCCGCTGCAGTGGGACGGACGAGGTTTCCGTCCGGGGCAGCGGGTTGCTTGGAGCCCGGAGGATGCAATCAGCCATGTGACCTCCCACAAGGGAGTACTGGGAGGAGGAGAAGTCAGCCAGCGTTCCCAGGCAGAGGGAGTCGCCGACTCTCCCATTGACTACACGGGGCTCA